GAAGCATTTTGTGAGAAAGGACAAAGAAGGAATGAGAAAAAATAAAGCGCTGTGAAATTATTTGAACAGATTAAAGAGTAAGATTAGAAGAAAAGGGAAGGAATATAAAACTGATTTATTTGATCAAAGTTAAAATTGATATGTTATTAACTCTGGTAACCCTTAATGGATATTTTCTGACACCAGGATTGAAATGATAAGACTTTGTTTATAGATAAAAGATGGGATTTGGAAAGAAGAGTTCTTTGATTGTAATTTAAGAGGAAGTAAGAAGTTATTAAAGTTTTTATACTTGTGATGAAGTCTGAGAGACTTCTTTATATATTACTTTTCATTTTCTTTACTGTATTCTTACTTTTCTTTCTTTCCTTTTTTCCTTGTAGGACAGTGTTTCTCAACCTTGGCAACTTGAAGATGACTGGACTTCAACTCCCAGAATTCCCCAGCCAGCGAATGCTGGCTGGAGAATTCTGGGAGTTGAAGTCCAGACATCTTCAAGCTGCCAAGGTTGAGAAACACTGTCCTAGATCGAACGCAGCTAAAGCATTTGGCCAAAGTCTTAGGCTAAAACTTTGGACTGATTTGAAACTGATTTCTAGTTCAGGAGTTAACCGGTGGGAAAATGAAAATATAAATAGTTTTGATCCAAGACTTCAAGGGGGCTTGGATGTTGACAGGCTGGGAGGCCAAGTAGGTGAAGAAGCCGTTTTTGCCTTGCTGGGGATATTTTCTTCCTCTGCAGAATGGCCTCTCCATGAGCACCTGGGCCAGGGGCTGCCTCTGTGTTCCCTTCTCAAAGGCTCACCTGGCCGGGACGTCTCCACCCCCTTTGTCTCCTACAGAAGCTGAGCCTGACCTACGTGATGAAGGTGGCAAACATCGACAAGTTCGAGGAGAAATTGCGAGCGGCCGAGGAGGAGCTGAACATTGACCTGAGCGACCGGATCCCCGTCTCTTACAGGCGCAGCAGCTTCTTTGGAAAGTAGGGAGGGAGGGAGGGCTTGACTTGCCTCCCCCCCCCCCCCCAGGCAGCCTCTCTTGTCCACCTGTCTCCCTTCCTGACAGTTGTTGGTCTGCACTCTGATCTTGGGGCGCACAGTGGCCAGATGTAGTGCTGAGCACTATTGTCCTATCCTGAAGATGAGGTCTAGGGTAGATTCTGCCATGGAGTGGCCTGAGTTGTCCGGCCCAGAATGCAGGACCCATAGGGACTGCAGATGCCAGGACTAAGGCCTCTGGGCAAAGGAGTTCCTTGGGGAAAGGCCGGCCGCCTGGGAGTGGCTTGATGGTCCCTTCCTGGCAGCAAACTCTGACTCTTGGCTGGGGCCCCAGAGTCTCCTAGGACACAGACACCCAATGCCACTCGGTTGCAGTGGGCTGGCATAGATTCCCCTTTGAGTCTTCCCCCAAACTGAAGCTGCATGGATTTAGATTTAGATTTTATTTGGTTTGTATGCCGCCCTATTCCCGAGAGACTCAGGGCGGCTAACAATAAAAAGGGGAGGGGATACAAAAATAA